CTTTTCTTTTTACAAAGAATAAGAATGATTTAATTTTATATGAAATTTTAAAAAAAATGATGATATTATTTAATTTAACATGAAATTATAAAATTTTTAAATTTTATAATCTTAAATTAAAATTATATCCAATATATTAAATTATTTTTTAATTTATAATTTTAAACCTGTCACATTAAAAGTTGAAATTAAAATATTTTTTTACAAAAAAAAATTAAAAAAACAATTAAACGAAGGCAATTACTTTGAGAAATAAAACTTTTTGAAATACGTTTTTTAAATAAATCAACCTTATAATTAATAAAAATTTTACAATATCAATCATTATTTTTTCAAGGAATATATCAATTTAATAGTAGACAAATAATTAAAAACTAAGTTTTAAAACTGTCATAATTATAAATTTTATCAAGAAGTTGTAATTTATTGTGGTGACTGCTTCTTAAAATGTTCAAATTTAAACTTCAAACATAGAATTTTTTTTTAATATAGTATGAATCTGAATTATTCAGCTTGTATGCGTGATTAAAATAAAATAAAATTAGTTCGTGATTAGAACCTGAGTAGTGAGTGAGAATCTGGACCGGCCTAGCCCGGCTAAACCGACTACACCTTTGGTAAGTCCTTTAAGCAAAGATTTCTTCGAGCAAGACAACAAAAACTCAGAAAAAACCCTAACTTGACCCGGATTCCTCCCATCGGTAACCGGCAAAGCTATCGATTCAACAATAGCTTTGCCGGTAGACGATTTATGAGTAACAGAATTTAACGGAGAGAGAACACAAGGGCTAGTGGAACAATCATCGCTATTAGTGGAATGAAAACACTTAGCACAAGCGCGAGATCCAATAGCAGAGCATAAAGGGGAATTACAGGAAAGAGAACGATGAGTAGAGGAATTGGAACAATCGATCCATGAGTAAGAGGCGCTCAAATCGAGGATGAGATTGGTGAGTTGTGGAGGGGAATTGAGGTAGAGAGAGAGTGTGTAAAGAAGAGTTTCATGGTCTTTGGTAATGGAAGATAAAACAGCTGATGAAGAAGAAGGGAAAATTAAGAGAGAAGAAGTGAAGAAGAAGAAGAAAAGGGTGATAATACTAATGGGTTTATGTGGAAACATTTTTTTATTTGTATTTTTTTTGTTAAGAAATGGGCATTTCTAATTCTAAACTTTTTTTTAATTTGGAGGAGGAAGTGAACCCATGGATTCAATATTTAAAGTGGATGATGATCATTTTTTAAATTAAAAAAAAATAGATTTTGTATTTTATATGATTTTTTTATTGTAGTAATTATAATATTTCTTTTGCTACTCTTTGTTTAACAATAGTCGATATTTGTTCATTTTGTACTTTTTAAAAAAATTATAATAAAAAGTGTAATTTTATTATAGTATAACATAATATTTTAAAAAAGAAATTACTACAATTATTGATAATTAAAAATTAAATATAAAATTATTCATTAATTTTATTAAATAATTAAATAGTGTTAGACATTCCAAAATAGTGATTGGAAATTTTTAAAAAAATAGTCATTTTTGTTTTAAAATCTGCTAAGTTAACTACATATTGTCTCTCGATTTTTGAGGTATTTTTAAATATTAAAGGATTATTAGGTGATTTTTCTAATTTTCAATTATTTTAATCTATGAGTATTTTCGTTAAGATTTTCAATTAATTTTTTAGCAAAACTTTTATGAAACCCTCCATATAAAGCTGAGGACTAAATAAATTCTTTTGTCTATAAAATCAAAGACAAGTTCACTATTATAGTACTGATTTAATGCATGAGCAATTCACTTCTGACTAACAGCTCCAACCAAGCTATCCCTTAGTTATTAGAGAAAATGTTTTTTAATTTGTTAAATTGTACTCTCTTCCTCTCATTTTACGTCATTTTTTTTTATAAATGGATAGACCATAATACTTATTGTTCTATAATATTTATGTATAATCATACTTTGCCTATTATATATACACTTGATAGATTAGTTAATAAATCTTTAAAATGTATTCATCATTTATTATAAAGTTGACTTAAAAAACATTAAATTAGGGTAAAAGGATAAAGTTATATTATTTTTTTATACAAATACAAAATACAAAAATGACATAAAATATGAGACGGAGGGAATATATTATTATAGCACATCTTATAAAAATAAAAGAGTTGGCCAAACTTTAGAGGAATTCAGAATTCTTGTCCACATTCAATATGAGAAGATCATTCTCATCAACATTTTTTATAACAATGAATAATGATAAAATATGGATTTAAAAGTTTTATCCATTTTTTGACATAATATATAAACATGATCCTTAACTTAGTGTTAATAGATAATTATGACATTTAACTTTGAGTGTGCACAAGGAGATTCTTAAACTTGTATAAAATTGAGCAAATGGACACATTCGTCCTACACGATAATTTTATATCTGACATGTATTATGTCATGTAGGACACTTTTGGCTACTTATTCAATTTTATAATATTTTAAATTGTCTATTTGTGCACATTCAAAACTGGAGGACATAATTATTTGTTGACGTCAAATTAAAGATCATGTAAATTACATAAAATGACTATTTCATATAAAAATTTAAATTGAGACCTTAAACTTTGATTCACTTAATTATGATTTCAAGATGAGCTCTAAACGTCATGTTTGGAGTACAACTAGGGATGAGTATGAACTAGACGACGATGACGATGATGATGAGCTAAACTAGTGCAGAAGTGTTGTACGTAATAGATATGCATATTGTTGTTTCGAATTTGGATAAAGACAAATGTTGTTTGATGTTATCAAAGTATAATACCATCTATAAGCGCTGTATGTCGACAAATCATTTGCAGTTTTACACATCAACAAGACAACTCAAGCCTAGCTGGATTAAGGGATTCATTTGAACACTTTCTAGTGGAATCACTCAAAGATATGAATAAGAAAAAAATTATATAAATAAATAACTTAAGATATCATAATCTCTAAAAAAATATTATCATTACAAAAAATCTTTTTAGATTTTCTCTCATATACATTTATATTTTCTTTGAGATATATACATCTATCTCTTTTCCAATACAACCCTATCATTACAAATACATCTCCATCCCAATCGAACACATCTTATCTCCTCACGGGTATATTCCTATCCTCTTGGATACATTTCTATTCTCATTGAATACATCTCTATTTCCTTTCAGATACAATATCACTTCCATTAAGTAGTGTATCATTTGCAATGTATCGAACGATCAAGAAATGTATTTGAGAACACCGAGAAATTTAAAAATTTTATAACTGGAGAAACTTACTAGATAGGATATAATTAGCCCCCAAATGTAAGTTAGGCAAATTAATTTTTCTTTATCCATTATAACAATCGTGTTAGAAGAAAAAGACCAAAAATGTAGTTTAATGATAACTTTGTAAATTAAATTCCTTTTTTAAAAATAAAAAGAGTGATATATTTAACTGAGTTTAATGTATAGAAAATTTAAAAACATTATTCTATTTAACCATTTGACACAAACTTTGAACTGAACAAAATGTGAAAAGGCAACTTCACTTCAAACGTCGGAGTAGTAATAAACTAATAATGTAGCCTCATGTATCGACAATGTCATACGACTCAAACAAAAGATGTCACCTAGGTAAATTGGAAACCTAGTTGTCCAAATATTAAACCATGCATTTCAAAACAAAAGTCAAATATTAGGTAATGTAATGTATAAGGTGAGGACATGAACAATTATGTGAGGGATGGCATCATTTATGAGAAAGGTAGACATCACCTTGAGTAACAATAGTAAATACTATAAATAGCCCACAAGATACAACAACACAAGCTAATACGCATAACAGGTCATAAAATCTATTCAACTTATTTTAATTTGAACTAATTATTGATCTACTCATTTGCCCAACATATTTTATCTAATTCATTTGAATCGATCAAATTTTATTTGCCAAATTTGATTCATTCAAAAAAATCTTATCAAAATATTTTCATAAAAAACTAAATAGCTATAATTTTTTAAAAAATATTAGATACTTAAAATTAAAGGGGATAAATAAATCAATTAAAACATAGCAATAATTAGACGGTGGAGTCTTTTTAACCGATATTTTAGTCCGATTCATATGAGCTCAAATAACTTAGACATGTCAATAACTTGTTTATATATTACCTTAATCCATCTTAACCCACTCAACCACGCTTATTTGTCACTTCTAAGTACGTAACATAGACATACTTCTCTTGAGTTCATTTCAAAATATAGTATCTGCTTTAAAATCTTATTAGTTTTGAATCGTATCAAAAAATCTCGTAGGACAAGCCATTCCCCTCAAAAGCAATTTCATCTACGAGACTCAAACACCCAAAGTAAAAATTAACTTCTATTTAAGAATAAAAAGATCATCTTCCTACCTTAAATCTTTGGTGATTGTGAGTTACCTGCTTCAGTAACCATCCCAGTTAATATATTTATTTAATTTCTACATACCAAAACAACGTATGATTAGCAACTTTCCAATTAGTATACTGGAGGCTTATCTTTCTTGAAACCTAAACTAGGTGCCTGAGATATAGATGCTCTTTAGATGTATTGGATTATTGGTATGGTAAATAAATAATTCACACTTTTTTTGCCCAAAAAACGTATAATTATCATAGCATTAGCAACTTATACCAACAAAGTATTCATGACATGGAAACATGAAAATAGAGTGCATAATCTGCTACAACCGTCAAATTATTGTATTATATAAAAATTATGTGCAAACCAAGATTTTTACTATAAAAATATGAAAAGGTGAGCACATGACAATTAACATACATAAAAAAATATTTTTAATCACTTATCAACACTGATATTTCATCGATCATAGCCTTACTCTGTTCCCAGAGTGAGCCCAAGAGCAGCTTCAATTTCTCACCTATCATCTACAACTATATTTTTCAACATGTCATCATATGATTCAATATAGATTATCAGGATTGGTCATTCCTCTATTTCACAAGAAATAAAAGCATATGCTGTTTTGCTATCAATAGCACCTGGATTAAGCTAAACTACCAAATTGTGAGGATAGAAAACAGCAAGAGTTAATATTTCAATTTAAGATATCAGCTCCTACATATGTCCTTAACCACATCTTACAGTAGATACACGAAATTACAACAAGCCTCTACTTTGAACAATAAATTTAAAAGAAAATATTACTATTTCGCGTTTACCTTTCCTAGAAAATTTTCCAATCACCACCTAGATCTCATATTTGATATTGCCTTGACATTCCCATAGTTCTGATGGACTGAGCAAACAAAAATTTAATGCCCAATACTTGCACCCCTGAATGATGAATGTCGACTGCAAAGAACCTGCAGTCATTTTTAATTAGACTATAACCATCTGCCTCTCAACTCAATCCCTCGATGCGGGGAGAGACAAAATCCCTATATTGTCACTCTTTCAACTTTGGCAAATCAGAATTTGAGAAGAAAAATAAGCCTGAATGATGAATGACGACTACAAAGAACCTGCAATCATTTTTAACTAGACTAAAACCTCCTCCTCCGTCTCTCAACTCAACCCTCAATGGTGAAAAAGAGAAGATGTATTGGGGAACAAACAGCAGCAAATCCCTTACTGCCTTTTCCAGACATTTCTAAAAGTTCCACTGTGACGATTTGCCCAGTCAGAGTATACAGGTAAACCTGCGACTTTATCTATCTCATCCAACAAGGTATCCTCTGTAAGAATGCCCTCTATGTTGCGCTTTGCCTGTCCATAAGATGTTTTGTAAGTCAGTAATAGTTGGAAAAGCTGTAAATGAAGGATGATGCTGCTATATGACAAACCTCCTCGTAGACACTGATATCATCTGGGTTTGATTTGTCTGTTTGGATCTGCACAAAACTCCAAGCATCTTCATGAGAGTTCCAGGAACACTCAATTATTCTACCCGAGTACAACAATAAATCAGTTGCATCTGCAGGAGAAAGTACCAATCAGACCAAATATAGTTTGAAGAAAACTTAGGTGGCAGCCATTAATCTAAGCAACAAACTCTGCTAAGCATTTCCTAATAGAATTCAAGGGATAAATCTTCATATTCTTACTGCCAGCTGGAACAAACGGGCAGAGATCTTTTTACCACTGGAAACTCCTCGGAGATTGAGTTCAGAGGAAGGAGAAAAAGAGAAGATAATCAGACCTTTAAACATCACTCTGCAACCCTCAATTAGTTTCTTGTTTCCGTGTTCTTGCAGATAAAGCAAACTACTACCATCAACTCCCACCTGCCAATGCCAACTTGTTAATCAGATTACCTGGTACTTAAGTTATTTACGACCATTACGTGATATTATCTCCTTTTTTTTTTAAAGACTTGATGTTATCTCCTACTGTTAATGTGCAGACAGAAAAAGGCTCAAGCATATATACACTTACTATATACAACAGATTGTGAACTAAAGATGACAGAAAATATAACCACCTCAAATAGAAAATCAACAGTATTTGTTCCAGGATATTTCCATTTCAAACGCCCATCATGATCCCGGGGCTCATAAGTTGCATTCCAGGCCTGTATTGTAAACTATCAGGAGCCAGAATCCAAATATGCAAAGTTGTAAGAAATTTGATGTACAAAATAATATATAAGCTTCGGAATGTACCGACCACAACAAAGTGAGTTGCTGGTCCCAACAACTTTACATTATAACCAAAAACACACACACACAGACACCTAAAGAGGGGGCAACAAGCATGTAAGTAAAGGTAATTACAGCAAGGAGCATGTAACTGAGGGTAATTACACTTAATTTTGATGGACAAAATTAGTACTGTCAAATAAGACCTATGAGAGTGAATCACTTGAGTGCATTTGCAGAAGAAATCATTCCATCCTATTTCTCTTCAAAATATCACTCTTACTATTTCTGTCCCTTTTTCTTTAGATCCGCGTCTTAACAGGTTCCTGTTCCTTCTTTAGATCTTGATTCTCATTTTGTTTCTCTATTCATTATTCCATTCGAAACCACAAACGGTTCCCTTTTTCTTTTCTTTGCTATCTTAAAATTTTCATATAATCGAGATTCAGCTTCTTTGTATAAAAGTCAAAGTTCTGCATTCCAGCTTCTGTCTTTGAAAAATTGTTTTAAGTAGCACCCTAGCTGAATTAACTTCACACACACACACACAGAGCAGTTCTAATGTGCTGAATTTCTGTCAATGAAAGTTCTTGATCCCCAATGTTATTACTAACTCCATTCAGTTCATTAAATTGAATTATATTAGCTAAAGTAACAGAAAGCTGCTGCTAAACAGATCTTCCCAGGCCAAATGACGAGCTTGATCTATCAAATTCCAGCCTAATGTCCCTTAGTCTCTCACTGTCCTCATTCTTGGACGAATGACCAATTAAAGAGCTCACTAGCACAATTCTAAAAGTACTGATATCTAAATACAAAGAAAGCTGGAATACTATGGACACTTCTGATAAGGTTGTGCCAATATTTCTTTTGAGTTATATCTATAAGATGTTGATAAGACAAACTTGATCGTCAATATTAAACAGACACAAGTAGATCCCACAGAACCTGAAATATAAGCCCATCAGCTGAATGTGGACGACTAGGCGTTATATCTTTTATGAGCGTAGAAGCTGCAGATAGCAAATAGAAATCCTTCCTCCTCACCTGACATCCACAAACAATCATCAATCCAGAAAGGATCATAAACTTACAGAAATTAGAGAGCCTTATTTGAGATCATACATACTTCAAATTGCTCCAGGCCATAGTGGTGGTACGGATTTATGCACGTGGACAAAAAATCACGTTCAAAGTTTCGGGGACGGATCACCTCTTCTTCAATTAGCCTTAATCTATGATGGAAAGGTAGCTGCAAAAGTATTTGGATGCAGAAATCATAAAATAAGCAATTTTTCAGGAAGACCCATTCAAATTAAAATTATAATATATGTCAGTGCTGAATGTCAAAAGAAAATGGTAAGGAGCTCGCCACAGAAGGCAAATCTGTACACAATGAAGGAAAGATGAAAATACATATCTAATTTCATAAAACTACTCCAGTAAACCTGCATACTAGAATGATTGACTGCAGAAGTCTGAGGATTGATGATCCTCATGACATTCACAAAAAAGACAAATTAAACCTAAGAAGCAATTATTATTCTACACTATTTTGGAAATGTTAATTGTGGTCACAGTACCATCCAAATCTGGATCTCATCCTTGAATGAAAAGGTAAGCAAAATATAAATCACAACAAGTTAATTCAAGTCATTTTGTCTGATAAATATGTAAGCCAAGACATACCTCTGTAACAGAGGATTCATTAAATGCCATCATATCATAGATGAGGTAAATAGTCCTCTTCACTTGTGTCTCAGTCTCAGTCTCAGTAATCAATTCACCATCAAGTAACGTGCAGCAATGAGTAATGTCAGCTCTACCCTACAGGAAACTCGTAAATCTTCTACAGCAGAAAAAGACTGAAATCGTAAAGCTGCAGAATCAGAATTCCTCATGATGGAGTACAAGAGGTCCTTTATGGACAGACTACCTCATAGATATGTTTGCGAGGAAATCGCAACTGGACCTTCCTGAAATAGAACTGTGGATCAATCAAATAACAATCCTCCTTGTCTATTAGCATCATGCATCGTGGCACCCCAGCACTCCAAGTGACATGGTAGAGTTGCTGACTAAGAAGATGCAATTTGCCCCTACAATTTGAAGAGAAGCAACAAAGTTCCAGAAAACGAAATTAAGAGATGAGTGAATACTGTTTGACACAGATCCAAAATTATGCTTTCAGTATCCTGGAAATTTTAAATTATCTACTTCAGACATAAATGTACATTAATCTCTTAATAAGAAATAATGTTATTGTTAAAGAATAACAAAAGTCCCACATCGGTGGTTAATGAGATGGGTGGACTCCTTATAAGGCTTGGGCAATTCTCCTCCCTTTGAGCTAGCTTTTGGGGTGTGAATTACGCCTAATACCTAGTTAGCTTTTGGGGTGTGAGTTAGGCCTAAGACCTAATTTCACAGTTAACATGCTCAAAAGGCAAAAAACTATAACACTAAGACATCTTCTATTTGCCACTTAAATATATTATGAGAACAAAGGACCAAAAATGAAAAATAATTTTTAATGCCTCTACCCCACAAAGGTGGGGTAAGGTTTTCGTACTTTTCACCCTCCCTAGACCCCACTTGTGGCATTACACTAGGTTTGGTGTTTGTTGTAACAGTGCTCAAAATATCCCTTTCCCAGTGCAATTAGAAGAAAAAAAACCTGGCCTATGCTTCAACATTATATAAAGCATGCACATTGTTTGAATAGGCACATGCAGCTGAAATTACTAACCAATCCTCCCAACACTTACTGATAGCTGTAGATCAATCTTCCAGTTAATGAGAAAACTTTCCAGATCTTTTGCACAGCATTCAATTTTGATACTTCAAGAGATGCTTTAGAATTCATAATAATGACACTCTATAAAAGGCTGCTCTTTGCTTGAAGATGATATTCAATCAGAAAGGAAAAGGTCATAAAATCCTAAAGTTTGTCATGTAACTTTTTGGAGTACAATTTTTGGCAAGCTGCTGTAAAATATTGCCTAAATATTGTAGAACTCATGTATAAGAGACATGTTCCTTCAAAATTAGTCTCATGTAAAAGAATATCCAAATAAGAAGAATTTATAGTCAACCTGTTGAGAGAGACCGGGTGTGATCCTGGAATTTGGGTATTTCTCGTCGCCTAAGGATCATGCACAAAAAAATAATAATAAACATTAAATCAAGCGCAAATCAACCATCTAAAGCAAACAGGATAACATTTGGACAGTGCAAAGCAAGAACGTGACTATCATTCAGGAAGTGTCACTACAACAAAAATAGTTTTTAGCGGCAACAAATATGCAGTTATACACATTAACAAAGAGTGGTAAAACCTTTACCGGCATTAGTTATTTGCCATCTAAGTTGCTCGGGCTTTTCACTTTTGGTGCCGCACCCGTGTCGACAAGACAAGGGTGTGGCTGTGGGTGAGGGATCCGTGTCCGATTGGGTCAACAGATTTTACGTACTTTGGCCAAAATCGATGGGGAAAGTTTGGACATTAATTTGGACAATCATAATGATTCCTATAATCAATATAAAAGTAAATGGAAGGAAATGGAATGCCTTATATAGAAATTTCTATGTCATTCCTTTTCCTTTAATCTCCTTCCAAGATTATGTTCAAGTTTTCCCAATAATATCTCATAATTTAGGTTTTATAATTCTATTTTAGATATTTTAATTAGTTTTAGGAGAATCCCCGCACCCTTTCCATACATGGATCCATATCCCCGAACCTTAAAAATTAGATGAAGGATCCGACCTCTAGATCTGCACCCGTATCGGACACTGACGCACCCGAGCAACTTAGATTGCATCCAATGTCACTATAGGTTCTAGGGACATTTACAAAGAGTGTTAATTGCCTCTAAAAATATACCTTCAATGGCAATTAAGCTATTGTCATTAATTAATTATCGCTGATGATCATTTTTTATGTAGTGTGTACGCAATTTGTTTCATCTAGGACTTGGGATAAATATGTGGAAGAAAGTTCAAATCAAAATAGATGCCACACATGTAAATTTTCCATGAGTACGAGTGAACAAGAGCTTTCCAATTCATATAAGATATAGTTAAATAAATTAAAATAGAGATGACGTGCCGTGAAAAATGAACTTTTGAATAAGAGAGAAATTCCAGGTGCTATGAGGCAGGGGCAAGGCTACATGGAGCGAACCCGAATCCCCTTCGTCGAAAAATTACAGGTATATGCATGGTTAAATTCTGGTTTTACGTATATCTATTAAACTGAACCCCCTCAACACTAAAGGAAAGGATAGAGCAGTGTTAAGGGGGCTCATTATCTACCTGAAAGGTCTATGTTCGATCCTCGTTGTGTGCATTATTGTTTTCTTCTTTTTTTGCTTTGAGTAAGGCTGAGATGGGCTTAAGTTTTTTTTGCTTTGAATGAGGCTGACATGGACTTAAGTTCTGGGCTCAGATTCCTACGACGTTGTATTCTTTTTGTTTTTAACTACTTTTCTTTTTATGCTATTTCTTTTTTCTTATTTTGTTTTTGTTTAAATTTATTAGCCATATTCCTTGTAATTTTCTTCTTATTTATATTGCTCGTTTTGTTTCTACATAGCTCTCTTTCCACGTACTAAGTTGAAGAAACGATGAATTATTATTAAATTCTAAATTGAGTTAGAAAAATTGTTTATGTAAAATGAAGTGAATTAAATTTAATCGAACAAGGAAATATTAAAGTCGTGAATATTTTTTAACAATACCTATTTAATTGAATTTTTTTTCTTTAATTTTATAGTATTTCTTCCTATTCTTTTTTCAATTTTATTCTAAAGAGATGGAAACTAAATTAATCTCACTTGATTTATTGATCATTTTTTCTTTTTTACAAATGACTAACCGTAAGGCTCCTGATCCGGTTACTCGACATAGGCACGGTGGCGGCAAAGGGTTGGCATGAATGACTTTGTCAAGGGCCAAAGTACGGGTGGAATCAATCATGTATAATGTGGCCGAAGTGTTGGCATGTCTTAGTGGTGTCAAACAATGTTGGTAAGGCAGTGTCATGACATGGCATGGACGTTAGCAAGGCAAAAACCATGGCATGGCATGGACACTGACCGACATTGGTTGTGGGCAGGTTTGGCATGGAAAAACACATGATCTGGTCAAGTGCGGGAAAATCGAGCTAAGCTATATTAAAGCATAGACAAATGTGAACAAAACGTAGCAAGAAAACAATGAATGGCACGAGTGAATTTAAAGTTAGCACGTCCAAGGCAAAGGCAGGCCTTGCTGGTGCACATGCATGGAAAATGGGCGGATGGATACAGGTGGACTTTGATGAGACAATGACTATACAATGTTAAACATTGTATTGGAGCCAAAATTATGAAGGGAAAATGCAACAAAGGGCCGAAATCCAGACAGCTAAGGTCACATGCCAAGCATATGCGGCGGTTACCTTTTTGTTACCGTTTGTATCAGGATTCATTGTAACTTGTAATAGCTTTTTGAATTCGAAATTTGAATGTTTCTTATCAGTTGGAGATGTCAACCGAAGTTTAATTTAGTGGGTTGATTGCTTGACAAGTGTTAGACATGTGTCACGACACTATACATTGTAAGACACAAGGCTGCCACATGGTCTATAAATGGACAGCCTTGGTGTTGGACGTTTTGGGACAGAAAAAGGAGAGTGAAAGAGGGAAGAATTAAGTTTGGAATTTCACTCAGACACTTAGAGGCAACGTCAGGGTTATAAAAAGGTGTCAAAGGCAGCAATCGACTTGTGATTGTGCCTAAGTCGAAGTCGAAGTTGGGATAGACTTGTTATCCTAGCGAGTGAGTCCTTTGTATTTATTTTGATTATTAATATAAAGGTTGGGTTTGCACGTATATCTTGTGTGCATTTTAATGTTAAGCTTCGAAAAATAATCTAAGGTAGAAAGAAAGAAAAACGTCATTGAACGTTAGGCAGATTAGGCTGCGAAAGGGCTGAGTTAAGTGGGACTTGACTGACACACATTGGGCTAACCTCTTGCACTAAATTTAGGTGAAGTAGTCTGCCCGTGTGACACTAACCTAGTAAATTGAATTAAAAAATGATGACACCATTTATTTATCTTCTAAATATGCATTATAACTAGTAATTAAATCCTTACCCCTTTTTTAAAAAATCTTGGTGGTTTTTATGGTAACATATGATTGAAAGGACAATAATTCAGTTTTTCTATAAAAAAAAAAAGATTAAAAAATACTGTAGAACACTACAAAACCAACAACCAAAACAGAGCACAAGATTTTTTTAAAAAAAAAACTCAATGGAGCAGGGTAAAAGTACATAGAACCTAAACTCGACATCGATAAGATAAGTTAAATTTAGTGGGTTAAGAATAATATTATCCTGTTCTGTCTCACTCGTTTTTCATCATGTGATTTTTACATATTACTACTATATACCTTGAATCCCTTCGCGAAGATCTTGGATCCGCCACTTATATGAGGGCATAGAGAATGATGTGCAAAAGACTAAGCTAAACTTCATCTTGCTGCTTTATTTTGGTATAATCAGTTCTACTCTAATGACACTTTCTATCATTGATGTCCTTAATTGTAATAGGAGCATTATAGAGTTCCAGTTGTAACTAAGTACTGCTTTTGGATATAGTACACCATTACTATTCTCAAAAAATGAACTTTTTAATAACTGGAACCTGTACATGCAAATTAAGCACTAGATAGCAGAAGTTCCTCATTCTCTGAACCTCAGCGAATGGGATACATTCACCCCTAAAATCTGCATCTGACACAGCACCTGTTGTTGAAAGATTCCCCTGCAATAACGAGGTTCTGGCATTTTCAATAAAGATGGGGGAAGAAAACAACTGTGGGTTTCCCTTGTCATCAAAAAAGAAGGGAAGAAAACAATAGGTACATAATACATAAATCCTGATTGTTGAGCAAATACTGCATGAGGTTCTGGCATTTTCAATAAAGATGGGGGAAGAAAACAACTGCCCCTTGTCATCAAAAAAAAAGGGAAGAAAACAATAAATACATAATAAATAAATCCTGATTATTGAGCAAATACTGCATACTGTTTAATAGGCAGACTATATTCTTAACCAGATCAAATTAAAAGAGTATTATCAGCTGAACAATGAAAAACCAATTCAAGTCATACAATCATCGATACAAGGTGAATGATCAGATAAAGCATTTTCTTCCTTCCAAGGAAAAAAATAACAAAAGTTTATACAAAATGAAACCATGATTTTTTCAATAAGCATCAGCTTTACAATAATTTATTACAAACTTTAGGTTTCTACTAAATCCAACAAATTTTCTTAGGAATCCTATTAGTATCCCTTCTTCATCAATACCACCACCTACGAGTACTTCTCCTTCATCTCCTCCACCAACCTCTCTTGAGTTATCATCGTCACAAGTTCTTCACATCAGTTCCAGATGAACCATGCACTGAATCAGATCCTGTGTCTGTAGTAGGCTCGTCTTCTCCTATTCCTATACTTGTCCTACAGAAAGGCTTTCGCTCCACTCTTAATCCTAATCCCAATTATGTTAGTTTGAGGTGTTATCGTCTATAATCATTATGTTTTTGTCTCATCTTTGTCTTCTAGTCTCCTCCAGCATAAAGACAAAGCCCGTGATTGAGGAGATATTTGCTTTACACTCTAGTAGTACTTGGGAACTTATTCCTCAAACTTCAAGTAAATCTACTATAAAGTTGGTCGCACGGTGACATTGGTCAACTTTAGGCGTGTCAAGTGGCCGAAGGTTATAATCAAATTTTGTGTGCTTTTATAAACTTTACACATTTTCTCTTGGCTAAAATTTCATTGTTCTGGTTGTTTGTCATTTGGCCTCTTTATCAGTTGGACATCGAGATTGTTTTTTTCCATGGCAAATACATGAAGTATATACGAACCGACCACCTAGTTTGTTGCTCAGGGGAGTCTAGTGGTCTTATAGGACAATTGTGATGGTCCCTATCATGGGTTTAAACAATCTTCTTGAGCGTGGTTAAGTAAGTCTAGCACATTTATTCAAGAGTTGGGGATGACTAGCAATAAGGTTGATCTTTTACTATCATATTGACATATCAGGTACATTTATTTGGGAGTTTACGTTTATAGATGTCCTTGTTTTCCATTCCAGCTGGGTCATCAAGAGGTAGGATAGCATCAAGAGGAACTTCCTATGGCATGGTTATAAAGTTAGGGAAGGCTACCATTTGGTAAAGTGGAACTCAATCATCTGTGCAAAAAAAGGGGGTGGCCTGGGTATCAGAAACCTGAAGATTCAAAGTAAAGCTCTTAAGAATGAAGTGGATGTGGTAGTTCACCAAAGAAAACCACATACAGTGGGGAAGAGTGATTATAAGTCAAATATGAACAAGAGGATAGATGGATGATGAAGGAGGTGACTCCTTGTGGAGTCAGCCTATGGAGGTCTACTAGATCCCTCTGGAGTGAGTTGAAAACTCAATGAAGAACCGAAGTGGCAAATGGAAACAGAACCGGATTTTGAAAGGATAATTAGCATGACGTTGATATCCTGGAACTGGTTTTTCTAGATATCTTCAAGCTAGTCCTTCACCAATAAAAAACTATAGCTGACATGTGGACATCAGACAGGTGGAGCTTGAATTTTAGAAGACATTTCAATGATTAGAAGGTTCAAAGAGTGGCTGAATTCTCCAGCGAACTTGATTAATTTCCTGGGGTTCAAGCTAGTGAAGATCTTTTGTGGTGCCAGGGTAACTTCAAAGACAATTTTAAGGTCAATGCTGCCTACAAAATTATAAACAATCCAACCACCAGATAATAAACTGGTCATGGAAGGAAATTGGAGGATAGAAGTTCTCCATAAGGTGTACCAATTTTTGTAGCAAAGCAGGCCATTTTAACCATGGACAACTTGATGAGTAGAGGTATGACACTGTGCTCAAGATGCTTATCGTGTAAAATACAGTTGAGACAGCCATCCATCTATTTCTACATTGTCCATACACAGCTCATTTTTGGAGAATCGACCTAAACCTTAAGGAGTCGTTTGGTTTGAATACAAGTTATGTTAGATTAGTTATGACGGGCTAGGATAAGTTATAATGGGATTAGTATGTTCAGATTATTTCTTATTCATTGTTTGATTTGTTGTATTCAAAATAATATGCATTGCATAAATTCTAAGAATAAGTTGTTTGTTGTGTTCACGCAGTCCCTTACAGGTCTACAGATTAGTTACATTTGTAACAAGCTTGGTAATCAACTGGAATGGACCAACTTGAGGGGAAGTGTTGAGAATATTAATTATATCAACTGGGAAAATATTGTTTAGTCCTAATTATAGTCTTAATTCTTTCCTAGTTTAGAATAGGTGTGTATACTGTTAAAACACCCACTATCTTGGGACAATAATCAGGACATACATTCTTCATATCTTCCTTCCAAGCCATATTTCTTACAGCCTTAAACAAAAAACTGGGAAGCATAGAGTTCATGTTTCTGCAAAACATGGCAGATATGGAGTGAAAGACAAATAGTGATGCTTGTTTTGCTGTGAACAACTTCATGTAGTATTTGAAGACAAAGTGCAATCTTTCATCAATTCAAAATAGTGCACTAAGTGCTCCACTGTTGAACCTATGAGAATTTTCAAATATCAATGCAGCAAGTGTTCACCAAATAATCTCAAAAGAACTACTTACAGAAGGAGCAACAACTTCATTATCTTGATCAGAGTCCCTCTTCCATTCGGGAGTTTCGGGACAAACAAGAAGCTCAGGCTTTGATTGAAAATAGAAGTCATACAACGCTTCAACATACATCTGTCTATAAATTCCAGGAGGGCGTGCTTGGGCAAACGTTGCTAGTGCCTGAAGAAAAGACACAAATTTTCAAGATTATTTTGAAATCTTAAGAAGAGAAAATTTGGTGTAAAATAAATAAGATTACTAACCTCACTAACACTAACTGACTGATTACGTACAAGAAAATGTACAATCATATAGCCTGTTCGGTTGTGACCATGAGTGCAGTGGACAACAACATACTTACTTGCTTGAGATTCTTGAGATGTCAATTGCACAACCTGCAATCAATATAAGTTCTGAAGATGAAAATCTCGGAAAAGTAAAAGGTATTTATCACACTGACATATGCACCCTTTCCAGATATGCAGAGCATGACAAAAGATAGATGGCATGCATGTGAAAGCAGAAAGGAAAATTACCTCAGAAATAAATCTATCTACGGACTCAGCATCAGGTACAGAGTCCTGTCCCGGGCACCGAATCTGGATAAACACATAGCATAAAAACTGCCAATTAACCATGAGATCGAATAGGATATATAGAACTGTTCTTTCTTACCTTAACATGTCTAATACCGTGACTAGTCCAATCTGATTCTGGGTAGTAACGGTCAGTGTTTGTCAAATCAACCACCAGTCCTATCTGCAATGAGTGTTAGTAACGACAGACATGTAAGACAGCTTAGCTGATAATCAATATATGGGAGAAACACTGAAAATCCAACTAGTAAGAAGATTAGCTGTGAACAAGATTAAGAGATGATGACACAAAGAAAATCTCATATGAATGCACATTCCTTTTTTTCTTCTAACCGAAAAATCCCCACATACCAGTGGCACACAGTTCATAAAAACAGTGGATAATAGGCATGCCTCTACACTTATCCACTTAAATAACATGCTTTTGCCAGTGGAAGGGTTTGAACTTGTGATATGCTCCTAACCCACACATCACGTGCTGCAAATGTAGACATACATTCTTATATAAGACTTCAACAGAATATTCTAGCTTCAGTGCTTCACTACCAGAACTAACAAATAAATAGGCAGGAGTCTCAGCAGCCAACATATTTGAGCCATATCTATCTGAATGACAATAGTGAACACATATCTACTTGTCCTATAAACTCAGAGATGTAAGGTCCTCCAAAATCTTTTGGTCGTATAAAAATGCACAGGTCCCCGCAGATAACTTCCTTTCAATTTCTTTCTTTTGAAAATACTTTCTTTCACTTTTCACTTATACAACAGCCAACTCCCTTTATGAACAAAACTATAAAACTCACAAGACTTGACTCAAACTACTGGATCCAGAGAAAGGTCTGGATCCAGCAAAAGGTTTTTCTTTTATCTTATCGATAATTCTGTTTAATGATTATTACTTAACTGTCAATAGATATGTCAAATGACTACTGTCAATCCCAATGAACATAGTGAGTTGGCAAAAAAGCATATGACCTCCCCTCCCCTCCTGCCCCAAAAATATTAAAAAAAAAAAAAAAGCTAAACATAGTGAACAGTTTGAATTTCTCATGAATTAACCAACTCAGAAACAAAAGGTGACTAATTACGTATGACTAAACAAAGGCAATAAAAGGGAAACATTAGAAGAGCGTAAGAAATAAGAAAGAGACGGAAGAGAGAACAATTTTGCAATGACTCATCAGACGATAATTAAGGAGACAATTGGTGCAGAAAGATATCAGTTATCCAATAAATCAGCACAGATAGTATCAAGACAATTATCACCAAGTTAACCTTATTTGTAAGCATCAAGGGTGGGAGGAAGAGATGAACCAAATAGTAAATGTGAAGCAGAAGAAAATCTTGTCACCACACCACTTACTTCTCTCCCTAAACTTCTTTGCTGGTCGATTACTTCTTTTGGGGTGTAACTTTCTCCAGGAGGGATGTTCTTGTTGAATGACTCACTTAGAGGCACTTTTGACGGGATAATAAGACCTATATTATCACCATATGGAGGGCAATATAACCAACCTGTAAAAAACACTCTTATCAGGATAACGTCAAGGAAAGATTTATGTGAATGGAAAAGATGTTTCTCTTCTAAAGTAAAAAATAAGCAAATGCAACCATTCATGGAATCACTTATGCACATCAAGACATCCAGCTTAGCACACAGTAATAAGTTATTGGACATGCATGCTGGTGGAAACAATCAGATGACTGAAGATAAAATTGAAGAACCTAGTACACCCCTTCAGGTCTGAGAACCAAAACAGCTTGCATAAAAAGACATGGAAGGAAAAAGGGACGAGGTTATCAGATGGGTATTTAGTTTTTGCCCGCCAATAGTGGAACATCTTTCATTTACAACTACAAAGAAAGTAAAACTATATCTAATCGTAAATATTAGATGGTCATAAGTTATCATGTTGTTTACAACTGCAGGTAACCATTAAACCTGGAAAGAAAGTAAAATAACCTCAATGATACTTTATTTAATAACCATGGTGACGGACTAGCTTATGCAACCCGACTAATTCCACAGCCCACGGGTACCTGCTACGTCTCACAAATATAGGTACAAGGTAACTCCGTCCACCAAGGTCTGGACAAATGGAAGAAATAACTAGTCTTTTAATGTCCTCTAGGAGTTGACCCTGAAACCTCATGATTTTCAACCCACTTTATTAATCACTAGGGCACACCCTTTGGGTGATTCAGCTATACTGCCAAACTATAATATAAAATCTTTTTACATGTTAATGAAATAAACTACATTATAAAACCTTTTACGTTATCACTGTACCCACTCAAACTTTTGAAGCTACATAATTACCTATCAGTAACAGGTTACTCAGAGAAGCAAATTTAAGGTGGAGGAGTTAAGACACAAACTAAACGTGATCAGAAGTAAACGAATGGATAATGTCTTTAGTTCTCGAAGCAAAGAGCTTTTTCAGTAAATATTTCATTAATCACAAGGCCAAAATTGATCATATACAATAAGTATACCAAAAAGTAAAGAACCTACAAAATATATATGGTCTCTAAAACACACCCAATTCTCTATACAACCCGGAAATATATGGATGCACCAAAATAAATAAGGGAATGGAGATACTCCTTAACCACCAAAACCTAGATTCTAACCCTTAAAAGCCCCTCTTGTTTCTCTCTCTCTCTCTAAGCGATCCACATCAACGCCATAGGAACAACATTCCATGGCCTGCACTTCCTTCTGCATCTTCCAGCTTCCCAGCAAAACAACACGTCTTTCACATATCTTGGCATTGTCCAAAACATACCAACCAGCTAAACATATTCCATAACAGCGCGAAGCTGCAATGTAGAAGAAGATGGTATAGATATTCACTCGTCTCCTTGAACAAGTAACATCAGTTAATACAAACTACTTTTCTTCTCCTAATGTTCAAGCCTAACAGTTAACCATGTGAAAAAGCACACCTTCCTCAGCACCTTAGAAATCCAAATGGACTTCACAAGAAAAACCTCATGCACCTTCACCTCCCAATCCGGGAAATCTCTCTTAATCCTCAAATCCCAGAACATTTCTTCCCCTTTTTTCCTCCTTATATACTACACTACCGCCTCCATGTCCTTTCCTCTTTGACAAGAACCTTAAAAATGCTTGGAAACTCCTATTTTAGCAACATGTGTCCACATCATTTATTTCCCCAAAAAGGCATAAACTAATTCGTCTCATGTCCCCTCACTGAAAGAAATGTTACGATAAGAACACACTTATCCCTCCATGATATTCCTCCACGCATAAGACCCAAAAGCCGATGTGGAAATCATTAGTTCTCCAACCCCCTTCCATCATCCCATATTTATTTGGACCTTGACCCTAAATCGCCACAACTATTTCAAAAACAGAACTTCATTAAAAGCCCTCTCCTTAAAATTCGGAAGTCCACCCCAAATCTCCACCATCATTTTCAAACAAAACTTCGTCAAAAGCCCTCAATTGTTTTACTACCAGCCCTTAGGAGTTGTCACGATCTCTCACTGTACCAAACAACACCTCCTTGCCTCATTCGCCGAATCCCAAAAAAAAATATTACTATGAAGTTTGTTCAATTTTTCAGAAACAGTGGTGTAGGCATGGAACAAAGACATAAAATAAGTGATGATGATTGATAAAGTATTCTTTTTTTATGACCATGGTGTCCGAGAGCGTTTTCCCGCACCTCGACTAATTCCTCGGGATACCTACCAACTCTCACCAGCAACTGATACCAGGTAACTCTGTCCACAAAGCCAGGACAGAAGGGAAAAATCACCTAGTGTTTTTATCTCCGTTGAGTTTTGAACATGAGACCTCAGGGTTCTCAACCTCTTCACTGGCTACTAGGTCACACTCTAGGGTGCCTCGACAAAGTGTTCTTAATAAGCACTTTTTTTTCGCCTTTGGGAAAATACATATTCTATCAAGCTACAAGCCTCTTCTCTCTAAAGTACCAAATTCTGACATTAATGTACTTATTCAAGGCCCCTAAGGGTAAACCCGAAGAAATAGTACAAGGAGCCTCTATCGCCAATGCAAAACATAAGCGAGTAAATCAATGTTGTCCACCTCACCAACGGTAATTGGTCTCAAATTTTTTGAGATTAATTTAAGGCCCATATCCATTGCAACCAAATTAAACTTCGAGTAGAAATTCCATTTGATCCCATCTACATCACAAAAACTAGGGTGTCATCCGCAAACAAAATGCGAGAAATAGTTTAAGAACACACCACCTCAAACCGCAGCATTGAACCCCTTAAGGTGCCCTCCCAAAACAACTATATTCATCATCCTACTCAAAGCCTTCATCACCAAAATAAAGAGCATAGGTTATATAGCATCCCTTTGCCTTAACCCCTCAAACGGATAAAACAACATGAGGTACCATTCACCCTCACTGAATTAACGCACTAAGATACAAAAAATTGTCCACTTTCTCCATTTCTCCCTAAAGCTCATCTTCTGCATAATGAAATCAAGGAACTACCTCCTTACATAGTCATAAGCCTTTTCAACATCTAGCTTAGGGTGTTCATCTGAATTGACCATCTTTATATATCAACAGAAGCTAAATAGAGCTTAAGTGCTCAACTTTGACGCAATGGATGGATCATATGAAAAGGCGATATTCCATCCCCATTATGCTCGTGGGCTCTAGATGCTAAATTACCGAAGTGCCATAAAATGCACTTCCGAAACATGAAGTACTTGGAATACAAGACTTGAATTCCACAACCTAACTTTTCAAATGCTTGGCAATCATGCGAAAAGTCATATATTTTTTAACTTTTTTCCAAGTTAAACATTTTGCTTTATTCATATCATTAATGAAACAACATTACTTATAAAAAAGAGAGCGCATGGGAACCTTACCCTTCCTATAACTAATGAGAGTTCGAAAACCCCAACACTATATCATTCACAAAGACATTCTAGTTCCTAACAAAACCACATACTCAAGCAACTTAAGTGGGATCAAATTGAATCTTTGTTGCTTTCTTTTGTCGCACCCAAAATGATACCATCTCCAACCTATCTAATTGCAACAGACCCCTTACTGACCTTAGCATTCCTAAATATGTTCTGAAAATCAAATTTTTTATGCATCCAGCTTAGAAAGGCTAAAATGTTTGCCACCTTAATAGCTTCCCAATAACAATGTTGTACTATGACCCCTCTCTCCACCATTATCTCCTTAATCTTGTCCACCAAGTCTAGCAACCTTTATGGTGTCTGAGATTCTTCATTTGTTGCCTTCACCAATAGCTCTCAGATAGCCTCTCAATGATTTTTTGTATGCCCTGATCAACACAATGTTGTAAACCAGCCAACACAACTCTCTCTTCAACCCAATTACTTGTACCAATTCCTAGGAAGAGTGTATAGGCCATGATGAACAACCATTGTAGTCCCTGATGACTCCACCTGCTCCACAATTTCCATCAATGCAGCTACCATCACTATTAACCTTAACAAACAATTGTTGTGGCTTAGCCCACTACACCAACCTGTACATTCTAGTCTTTCCATTGGAGAACCACTAAGACTTTTTATGCTTTCCCATCTTGTATCTAAATTTAGTTCCTCAAATATATGCTTAGTCAACTGAGACAGAGTAAAGGAGATCAGTGTAATTGATATGTTATGTGAAGGGGTCTCAACTCCATACTTCTTTGCACATCTCGACTCCACAGCTCCCATATGATTAGTGGAGGTGTGAATTTTGTAATGAAGGCTGAAATTGTATTAACAAGCTAGTAACTCCATCATTTCTGCATAATTTGTATAAGGTGTGTATTCTGACAAGTGACGACAAATCTCAAAAGTTGAACTAAACGTATGCCCCACAACATTGATCATTTCTCCTTAACAAAATAAGAGCTTAGTTGTTTCCCTCACCTCTTAGTTACTACATCAATAGCACCTTGCCTCCCACCCACCACCCACCCCCGTTATTACCACAACTAAATAGTTTTTATTTAGTTGGAATCTTGCCATATACTGTCGTCCATGCCAAACATGCCATTTTTTAAAAAGCACATCCTTGTGCCAAATGCAATTGTCAATGTTGGATAGATCATTCTTCTATCTCATCATGTGCCAAACCTCATTCAATTTAATGTGTCCGGGCCTGATACCATATGGTGGGTGACTGATCAAAGGCCCAAATATGCTCTAATTGTCAAACCAAAATGAGATATATCCTTAACCAACGAACAAGTGTAAATGTTGCTCCACCTTGTACCTAGTCTTGCAAATGGCTCCTCCAACTCTGGGATGCATCACTAGCCAATTGTTTAATCAGATGATGAGGCCACCTGAAGTATTTGGACTTCAAAAAATCACCCATAAGGACCTTCTTGTTTTAAGGTTCCACCAGACCATAGCAAAGGAAACCTATTAGACATCCCTTAACCTTCTGAAATTTACTCCACATTCTGAAATATCATATCTTGGCCCAAGAGGCCCAATGATGTTTATCTTTCCCTTCAATGGACCCCCAAAAGAAATTATTCAAATTTTCTCCATTTATGCAGGAACCTGCTCTGGTGGATGTAGAGGCTAGCAAGTGCACAGGCACTACCAACAACATATGCCTAATCAAGATTGCCCTACCACCAAGATACATGAGCATAGATTGCCAACCCCTAACTTACCCTGTAATCTTGCTAATCAGGACACTAGAGTAAGATATTTGTTACCTACCAACATATAGAGGGAAGCCTAGATACAATTAAGGCAACTCATTATGTTGCATGACAGTTAGCCTAGCATTTCTCCCACACTTCTTGGTGAGATCAATGAAGGCACCACAAAGCAGCTTGTAGCCTTGTTTATTATCTGATTAGAATTTAGAGGTGGACTCATATAGCTCCAGGGTCTTCATGATTAGCTTTATTGTTCCAAATTTACCACTAACAAACAAAATCATATCATTTGCAAAGGAGAGGTGGGATACTAAAGGTCCTTTCATATGCATTAAAAAGGAAGCAAAACCTTTCTTAGTCAGCAATTTATTCAGCATAGAGAAGAGCAACTAAAAACTTATCACAAAAAGGGAAGGAGGACCTGGATCACCCTATCTTAGTCCATTAGTAGACTTAAGAAGCCATGCCTCGGAGCATTTACAATGATAGAATACCAGTTGCATGAGATTTGTCTCGACACCATTTGTACCCATGCTTCTAAAAAAACCAATCTTCTCATTACTTGGCTGAAAGCTTAACACCATTTGTACCCATGCTTCTGAAAAACCCAATCCCCTCATTACTTGGCTCAAAAAGGGCCAAGTCACTCTATCATAGACCTTGGCCATTTCAAACTTCATCACTGAATTCCCACCTTTTTGCTCCCTATCAAAGTCGTCGATAATCTCTTGGGCAAACAAAATGTTTCCGAAATTTGTCTAACATTTACAAAGTCCAAACCGATTCACAGAAATGATCTTAGGCAAGACCAGAGCCAATGTAGTATAAAGGATCTTGGAGAAAATCTTACTAGAAACATTACATAAGCTAATAGGCCGCAAGTCAGATAATTGTTGAGGGAACTTAACCTTTGGCAACGTACAAGATATGTATGTAAGAACCTAGGAATGTTGGCACCCGAGAAGAAAGCAGTCACAGCACTATGTATGGCCAACACTTCTGATAGAACAAAGCATTTAACCCATCTGGTCCTGCTGCACTTGTTGGATCAATATCAATCTCACTAGCTTTTGGTTCCTCCTTAGTTGGTTTTGCCATGAGCATAGCATTATCTTCATCAGATTCTCTGGCTTGTATATACTCGATGCAAGTCAGGTTTCCAGATTTTGAGTCAATATTAGAAGTTCTCTACAAGTAATCAATTGCAGCCTTTGCAACTTCCTCTCCCCCTTCTCTGCATTGCCCCTCCTCATCCTGAATCTTTGGAATACAGAGTTTTCTTCTTTTTCCTATAATACTTCTGAGCATCTCTCAACCACTGAGCCTTAGCCTTACTACTGCACCCTGTATATTGAGTAACTGTACACATTTTGTCTTTGCCTTACTGAGTTCAGCCCTCTGACTACGCGATTTAGAGAGAATCAAGGCTTCCTATAGGTCAACAATCAACTTGAAAGTTATATTGGCGAAGATTAATTAAGTTATATGCCCTAACAATATAAAGACTAGTTGTAAACTGTTACCTAATTTTTTTTCTAGTTATCTATACTTTCTCTAGTTCCTTTCAAGCAACCTGATTGCAATAATAAACCTGCAATTGGCCGACAGACTGATGGTACACAGTGAGTAAAATTGCCAAAACTAATCAAAGGCAAATGTGAACTAGTACTGTGAACTGAAGTTAAGAGCAAGGAAGTAAACCTTTAGGTAGGCTATAACGGTCGAAAAACTTGCGAGGTCCGTTGCGAGATCGCCAAAAATCCCCAGGTGACGAAGAGACGTGCACTGTATCTTCGCCAACCTGCTTCCTTTTCTTCAACTCTTCACCTTCTACTTCCATCTGATGAATGAAACACCTATCACGGAGACGGAGTATGTAAAAATCTCCGGCAAACCGTCGCCGTCAAGGACGAACAAATGCAGACCTTGCTGGGTTTACTGCAAGTTTGCACACGAGGGAAAGGAGGAAATTGAATTTAACTTTTGGAGTAATTGTTAGTTCTTGGATTTGTTTGCCTTTTTCTCCTTTCCTTTTTTTTTTTTTTCAAATTCTTATCCTAGTTTCGTGTTCCGCCTTCTAAGATATTGTGTACGCTTTTTTAATACTACCTACCACTCCGCCTATAGAAATTGGTCATTCAAAATCAAACCCAAAAATTTGGGGTGGAAGAATGAATATCTTTTTATTTTTATTTTAATTAGAAGTATTGAATTTGAGCATTTTTAGGTAAATAGTTATTTTTATTTGAGTGCAGGATTAGAAATCAAAAAGGGGGAGGAAATAGTCACTAAAATCATTGAGAGGATATCTGGATTGGCTTAAAAGTCGGTTAAATCTATTTTTGATTTCTAGAAGGTTTTGGCAAATATAAAAAAATAAATGAAAAATGACTTAAAATAAGTTGAAAAGTGTTTGAAGTCAAATATCAAAAATAGATTCTCCATACTTTCTATTTTTTGAAAAGTCATTTCAGTTTGATTTTTTATTTTTGATTTAAAAGTCATTTCAATTTGATTTTTTATTTTTGACGTTAAAACTACTTTTTATAAGTCAATCTAATTAAAAGTAGGTTTGACCAATTTTTATTTGGAAAAATATATTTGGCAAGACAACTTTTTGTCATGACTTGACACGAGCAACAAATTTTAGGTTTTTTCGTAATTTAGCTGAAAAATTATGGGTGATTGGATAAGTTCATTTATTTCTTATACCCAAATTACCCTCAAGTAAAACCACTAATATTTAAAAGTAAAATCACTTCTAAAAAATCTAATTTATAATAATTATTTTTCAGTTCACACTGCCCAAGAGGTGGCTGACAATACTTGAGGTCACGTGAAAAGAGTTCAATCCCAGAAAAACCACTAATATTTAAAAGTAAAATCACTTCTGAAAAATCTAATTTATAATAATTATTTTTCAGTTCACACTGCCCAAGAGGTGACCGGCAATACTTAAGGTCACATGAAAAGAGTTGGATCCCAGAAAAACCACTAATATTTAAAAGTAAAATCACTTGTGAAAAATCTAATTTATAATAATTGCTAGTCAACTGAACCGCGCTTCGTGCGGTATTAGTATTTCAAAAATTAAATTGAAATAAATAATATTTTACTTAAACCCACAATTTTTTCTTTTACATATCAACAAATGATACCAAAAAATAAAATAAAATCATTAAAATAATGTGAAACGCCATAAAAATAATCAAAAGAAAAGATAATTATTTTTTAAAATTAGATTTCCCTCGTAAAAAAATAAATAACATTATTTATTTTTTAAAATCTATGTCCGAACACCTACTTAAAAGATACAAAGATGTTGAAATTTTAAATGGACTATGCAAATTTAAAATCACATCTCAAATGAAAAAAATTGTAAAACTAATATTTCGAATCTACTTTATTCATTACGTTTATTCTTCCCCTTTTTTTCTATCACGTCAATTTTTCATTAAATCTTATTTTGACACTATGTGCCCATAAAAAATACCATTACATGTTATTTAAAATCTATATTAAAAAACAATCAAAATGAGTAATGATCTAATGAAAAACTCAAAAGGAAAAAGGAAATATTAGCAAATAATTGACACTGTAATAACCATTAAAAATTATAGAATTTCAATATATTTTCAAATGTTTTTTTCCACACAGGTTTTGGGCTTTTAAATACAAGGGGTGTTTGTATTGAATTGTTTTGAGTAGCTCATAGACTTTAAAAATTAGGAAAACTGTAATTAAAGTAAATTAAATATTGATGCATAATTTTATTTTAGCTTTATTATTATTATTATTATTATTATTACTACTACTACTACTATATTATATAATAACAATAGTGTATATTATTATTGAAAAACACTTAAAAAAACAAACAAATTTTGTAAAATTACTTTTTGCAATTCTTATTAAGTTATAATAATATATCTCTAGGAATAAAAGAAACATAAGGAAAATGAATAAAATAAAATAAAAGAAAGAAAGGAAAATAAATTATTTAAGAAATAATATAAATAATATTAATAATGAGATTATGGGGAGGAAGTAAAAGAACTTAATAGCACTAGTGATTATACGAATATATATAGTTATATTTGCTATTTTATAAAATTTAATGTAAAATTATCAATCTTTAAAAATTAGAAAAAGTGTAATTAAAAAAATATCAATATCAATGCTAGACTAAGAAGGGTGTTGTTGTTATAAAATCAAGCTCATAAGAATAAAATCATAAAGAGAAGAAGACAAGAGAGGTAGATAGAAGAAGGGGAATTTTAATGTTATAAAATCAAGCTCATAAGAATATAATCATAAAGAGAAGAAGACAAGAGAGGTAGATAGAAGAAGGAGAATTTTCTTCTTATTCAAGTGTATGCAAGTTTCATCTGTATGTCATACAATAGTGAATGAAAATCCTATTTATAGAGGGAGAAATTACTCCAAATGTCACCATATTAAGTATCATAATATATAGATACATTCTTATCCAAAACGGTTCATGAATCTAGTGAATATGGATGGTTGTTCATGTACCAACCTTATGGACTATCCACTCATTCAATGAATTTATAACAGTTATTCTATTTTTTATTTTAGATATTATTACACACATACATATATATAAATTCATATAAATTAATAACAAAGTAATTTAAGAAAATAATATAAATGACATTAATAATGAAATAAAGGGAAGAAAGTAGAAAGAGTTAATAGCACTAATGGCCAAAATTATTATCATTTATTATTCAAATTTTTCATATTCTTCATTGAAAATTAAAACTCATCCATATATTGACATATGAAATCATTTATATTCGCTTTTACTATTTCTTCATCTTTATGTAGTGTTTGAGTTACATAATTTGTTCAGTTTCTATACAAATGATATTTGAGCTCTCTTATATATTTATTATTTCTATTTTTAATGTATTTCTTTTACGAACTACTAATTTTTTATGTATTTAATATGATTTTTTGTGTTTTTCCTATCCAGAGGATATCAAAAAGATGTTTTTGAAGTAATTCTACTTTTTTGAATATTCGATAAGTTTTTAGATATTCCTGAAGAGATCATAAAAACATTAAATATTGGTTTTGAATGATCTCAAATATCTCATAAATTATTAGATATTTATAAAGATTAAAATCTCAAATATCCTATAACTTTGGAATACTCACAGAGAAATCTTAACAATATCAATATTATTTTTGTTGAAAGATATCTCGAATATCTCATAAATTTTTTGGATATTCATAAAAAAAATGAAAAAGATTTAAAAACATAGAATAAACAATTTTGTAACTATAATATTTATTAATATTTTTTATTTCTTCAAATAAATATAAAAGAAAGGGTCATAATTGGAACAAAAGGAAGATAACACTAAAAGTCAGACATGACACCTCCCTTTGACCAAAATTGACATTTATTTATTTTATCTGCTTTTTTCCGTAATTTATTCTTTAAATAATTAAAAAGATATACAAATTTAAATTTTCTCTTTCTTCATTATTACTACATAAGATCCCTTTCTTTCCTTCTTTATTTTCCATTATTTTTTCTCTTGCCAAAATAATTTTGCTTTTAATTCCCTCATTTTAGGTTTTTTTCTTATCAAATTCAAATTTTCACAAAATAGCTATACACTTATAGTTTCTCTTTCCTCATTAATATTATACTAATTATATCTTTCCAAAATTATTTCTTTAACTTCTTTATTAATTTTAAAAACATTTACAAATATAATTGTAATTAAACTATAACAAACATAATTGTTATTTATACATGCATAAATAAATAAAATTGGATACAGGTCCGATTAAATTTATCTTTTTTTCTCTGTTTTTTATTTCAATTTTTTTCAATTTTTCATAATCAATTATTTTAAGAACTCTTAAACTTATAGAAGTGTAATTGTTATTATATACAAAATAAATAAAATAAGAAGTCATATTTATCTCCTTTTTTTTATATTTTTTTTGCATTTTTTTTTTAAAAAACATTTTTATAACTCACACCACTACATTTATAAATGACAATCTTCTAATTCTATTAATAAAATATTCATAATTATCTTATTTTCCATATTTATAATTTTATTATTTAATTTTGCATGTCTTAAAATATGGGAGAAAAAATTATTTACTTATTTATTTTCAAAAAATAGAAAAAAAATATTTATTCAACTCAATTAACTTTTAACTTCCCATCATAATTGTCTTCTTTATTATAGATTTTAATGTATATGCCTGTATTCATCCCCCTTCAATTTTTATAATTCTTAATTAATTTTATTAATGTAGAATAAAGTAACAATACAATAAAAGATGGGAGATGAAAAGACAAAAATTAACTCATATATATGTTTCACTATCAAACTATGTATATATGAATTATTCTTTTTATTAGTTATTCAATCTTTTAAAAATTAGGAAAAATGTCATTAACAAATAATGAAACTTTTTTGTGCAATTATTTTAATTAAAAATGTATTTAAAATGTCAAAATAATTGATATAAATAAATATCAAATGCTAGACTAAAAATGATGTCATATATATATATATACACACAATAACTTACTTCTTGAAATAAATAATTGACAGAAAATAAACAAAAAGGAAAAAACTTGATTTATGGAAATATAAATAATATTAATGGAGAGATTAAGAAAATTAAGTAAAAGAAACTAATAGCATATGGTAGTACTTAAATATGGTCATTTTTTAAATAAAAATTTATAGTCTTTTAAAGTTAAATTTAATAAATATTGAGACATACTTTATTTTTTTTTGGCAAAAGTACCTTCATTTTTGAATAGTTATTTTAATAAA